GCCCGATGCGGGACTCGATCCCGGGACTCCAGGATCATGACCTGAGCCGAAGGCAGTCGCTTAACCAACTGAGCCACCCAGGCGCCCCTGAATTTGTGTTTTTAAGTGAAGTGTGATAGGACGAGAGAACATGGTGGGGGCGGGGCATGGAGCTCTGACTCGCATGTGGTCCCCCCTCCTGCCTGTTTCCGCAGCACGGCTTCTGCCAGCCCTTTGGCCCCTTGACACTCCAAAGTTAGCCAAACAGCTTACAGGAAAAGTTTTCATCATCACTCCCATACTGAAACAATTCTGGCAACATGGTTAGAAGCAGGCCCTGTGCAGCCTCCTAGTCCCCATCGCCTTCCAGGGACCTGTGCTGTTCCCCTAAGCTCTCCAGGGGCCAAGGCGCAGGCAGGTCAAGATAAGCATCTCACCCAGCCCTCATCCAGGACCTGAGAGGTCTCAGGCAGGGGACTGCAATCTCCTAGGGGTTGCAGGTTCGCCTTGGGTTGGGGGGTGAGCCATGGAAAGGGGAAATGCCTGACTGGACTTCCCTACCCCTATACACCTGGCAGGCAGGGGAAAACTACTATTGGGCCTGTGCATGCATACAGTCACGGGGCCACCCCAGGCCCTTCAGTCTGCCTGTACCCTCCACGTATCCCCACGCCTCAAGGAACACAGTATGAAATGGTAATTGAACACCACCATGACAGGTCAAGAGAGAGACTTTGACAGACAGGAAAATGTTTTCTACTTTAGTACTTTATAACATTACTCTTTTCCTGCTTTTTTCTTCAGTTTATTTTTTGAGGTATAATTGACATAACATTATATTAGTTTCAGTTTTTGTATATATTACAAAACGATATTTATTTGTTGGCCATTTGCATGGCATCTAAACGTCTGTTCAGATTCTCTGCCCATTGTGTAATTGGGTTGTGCTTTTGCTATTAAGTTGTAGGAGTTCTTTATATATTTTGGGTATTAACCCCTTATCAGATATATATTTGCAAATATCGTCTCCCATTCAGTAGGTTGCCTTTTCATTTTGTTGATGGTTTTCTTTGCTGTGCAGAAGCTTTTCAGTTTGATATATTCCTACTTGTCTATTTTTGCTTTTGTTGTCTTTGGTTTTGGTGTCAAATTCAAAAAAGTATTGCCAAGACCAATGTCAAGGATCTTTTCCTGCTTTTTGACCAAGGGGCCCAGTGTTTTCATTTTGCACTGAACCCTGCAAATTATGGAGTCGGCCCCAGCCTCCTGGGTAACCTTAATCAGGTGACCTTACCTTCTCTGTACTTCAGTTTCTTCATTTGTGAAATGGTGACATCTTTACAGAGGTGTTGTCAGGTTCAGACCACGTAATTCAGTAATACGGGCTAGCTCACTACTTCTCTACCCCTCTTCCCTCGAGATACCCTGCCATCCTCATTACTTGTGGGATTAATGGGTAAATGGATAGACTGATGGAAAGAAAGCAGAGAAAAACATTGTTATATAAGAAATACGCATAGCTAGAAATTGATAAACATAGATTGGAAATACATATAGCTATATAAGCATACATAAATAGATGTGCAGAAAGACATGCATATAAATTCCATAATATTCTGGTTTTAAGCAATTTTATTATGGCCTTTTTAAAAATTTTTAACTTATGAAGCTTCATTTACACTAAGCCTGACACTTAGCCCTCCTCTAAAATCTAATGAATCACTGTTAAGTACAGACACAGAGAAGTGAAAGAACATTTTCACAGCAATCTTCAGTTGGGCATCTGGGGTGTTAAGACCCTGGTCCTGGGACACCATAGACCTGGCTGCCAAAGGCTCAGAGTCTAGCCCTGTTATAACCCCAGAGAAGAAGACTAGGGATTCAGAGTTTCAGTTTGGTCACTTGGGGTCCCTATTCAGTGTGAGCCTCTGGGATTCTGTGACAGAGGCTGTGTGACAATCCCAGCCAGAGAGAGAAGGTCAAAATCTTTCTATCTTTGAAGCCAGCACTTGTCTCCTAGAAAACACTGCTGAAAGTCCTGAATATACTGTTACTGTGTTCTTGCTTTCTCGCCAACAATGGAACTTTGTTGAGTGCATTTGTATTTTACCCTAATACACGTATAATATTTAAACACAATCATGGAAACAAGAATTTCATTGAAATACTATTTTTTAATTTAAATTCAATTAGCCAACTTAGAGTAGTACATCATTAGTTTCAGATGTAGAATTCAATAATTCATCAGTTGCATATAACACCCAGTGCTCATCATATCACATGCCCTCCTTAATACCTATCACCTGGTTACCCCGCCCCCCACCCCCTCCTTTCTGTAACCCTCAGTTTGTTTCCTGCAGTCCAGAGTCTCTCATGGTTTATCTCCCTCTCTGATTTCTTCCCATTCAGTTTTCCCTCCCTTCTCCTACAGTCCTCTGCCCTGTTTCTTATATTCCACATATGAGTGAAACCATATGATAATTATCTTTCTCTGATTGACTTATTTCGCTCAGCATAATACTATTTTATAAAAAGATACATTAAGGATTCTAAGATGTCATGGGATAGTAATTGTTAACTAAAATTAAGACACCATGAGGTAACAACCTTTGCTTGAACTTCATAAAAGCCATAAATTTCAAAAGAAAGGTCTAGGTTTATCATTGCCCTTAAGGCATTAAGCCCAGGATATGGTAGTTATACTTTATTCAGATACCAAGGAATGCCAAAGTGAGAGACACTGAAGGTACAGTGTGAATTCAGTAGAGGTCGTCTTTGGAGAGCAAAATCAGATGTGTTGATGGTAGTCCAATTTTCATCATTCACAATGTTCCCTCTCTAATGTTGATCATGGTGTCATGCTTTTCCTTTCAATAAAGTGGCAAAAGTAAAACTGATAGATTCCATCCTTGTCGGTTGAGGAGCTGACCAAGAACCTAGAACAGAGAGAAGAACACCGCAACTACATTCCTGCTCGGGATGCTCTCTGGAGAAGCCGAGTGAGCTGGTCTCGCAGGAGGCCTTGCTCTGTGGAAGGTTGTGATGGGGGCTCATTTTGATCCCTTGAAATCCAAAACTGATCGGTTTTTGCTTATTTCCATGCAGTGTGACAACGAAGACGACTACAGGGAGGTCAAGAAGGCCCAGGGAGAGAAAGAGAGCTCCTCACGACTGACCAGCTCTGCCAATAATACTTTATCTGCAAACCACTGCAGCATGAACATCAACAGGTATGCATGTTCCATTGAAGGTAGAGGTGAGCCCGAAGGATCTCTGGGTCCAAAAGGCAGGTACCAGACTGGAGGAGAGTCAGATCTCTTAATGACTGCTCTGGTCTGGGTCTGTAGACTTGCTTCCCTTGAGTTAACCGGAGGCTAATAATTAAGCCTGGATGTGTGCTTCTGTCACAACCCCAAGGGCACTGTCGGCACTCCTTTGTAACAAAGGACCGGTTACTAGTTATACTCAGTTCTGTGCTCTCAAAGACACACCTTCCCTCTGAAAACTCAGTAACTGAATTTTCAAACCCTTATTTTAACAGCCACTAAACCCATAAGAACACTAAGCTTATTACGTGGATGAAAAAATATAAACTTTGAGTGGAATCTCTTGGAGATAGACTAAAATGTGGCAGTAGACAGGATCTGTGTCTCCAAGGTTAAACGGCACCCAGTCACTCCTCTAAAGGGGTTCCAGATGGACCCACGTTGCACCAAATCCCCTCTGTGACAAACGGCTTTCTAGCAAGGCAAGGTCCCCGATATTTATTAGAAGTGGGTAGAGTTCAATAATTCATCAGTTGCATATAACACGCAGTGCTCATCACATCACGTGCCCTCCTTAATACCCATCACCCGGTTACCCCACCCCCAGACTGAGCTTATCATCAGTCATAGAAGCTTTTTCCATTTAGAAATACCACAGCTCAGAAACCACTTTTCCTCTGCTAAGACACTCTCACTCTCCCTGACTGTGTACATAGAATTTTTAAGGGGAGATTAATGTTTCAGCACAACACATAAAAATGTAAACGGAAAGGCTAGGAGAAGATGTAGAGCAGTACTAAACCTCCGAGAGGAAATTGGAGAGTGAGGGCACATGAGCACACGCCCACTGCAGTGTGAGAGTCACCTTGGGAAGGAAGGCGAGGGCTCTTGAAGGTCTGAGTGAGAGGGAGAGTGCGCGTGCAAGCTGGCCTAGCCCGCAGTGCTCTGTGCTTAATGGGTGGTATCCCAGAATACTGCGGAAATGTGAATAGGAGCAATGTGGCTCCAAAACGTCATTTAAATGAGTGATATAGGGCGCCTGGGTGGCTCAGTCATTAAGCGTCAGCCTTTGGCTCACGTCATGATCCCAGGGTCCTGGGATCGAGCCCCGCATCGGGCTCCCTGCTCGGCGGGAAGCCTGCTTCTCCTTCTCCCACTCCCCCTGCTTGTGTTCCCTCTCTCGCTGTGTCTCTGTCAAATAAATAAAATCTTAAAAAAAAAAATAACTAAATGCGTGATATAGTTGTAAGCGTGCTTTGTTAATACACTGAAAACCTTTCTAGCAGATCCTAGTAACTGCCATAATATCAAAGTAGCGACAAATACAAATATAAACAATATTTCAAGATGTCTGCAACCACTGTGACATGACATGAGAATATCTGTGATTTCCTGCTGATGATGCAATCACAGGCATTGTTAACACCACACCTGCTAAACCACTACTCTGGAAATGTTCCATTTCAGTGAGAAATTGTAACTTTTTCCCATCCAAGTTCACAGACCCCAGAATAAAAGCTCTTGCCTCCAGCTCCAATAGCTTTATTTATGTTACATAATGACCCTTGCATATAAAAGTGCTTTGAGTTCTTTCTAGGAAAGGTGGTCTAGGAAATACCTCAGGAATGTGTATAAAGGGATCACCTATCCCAAAGATGAGATCCAAAGAAAGTTTTTTTGGTCAAGTTGAGTATGTAAATTTATAATGATGAAGAAGAAATAATCCTATGTCCATGACAATTTTAATGTAATAATTTGGTTTTCTATGAACATTTCAAATCACATAATATGATTTAGAAATATGACTTTCTTGGGGCGCCTGGGTGGCTCAGTCATTAAGCGTCTGCCTTCGGCTCAGGTCATGATCCCAGGGTCCTGGGATCGAGCCCCGCATCGGGCTCCCTGCTCCTCGGGAAGCCTGCTTCTCCCTCTCCCACTCCCCCTGCTTGTGTTCCCTCTCTCGCTGTGTCTCTCTCTGTCAAATAAATAAATAAAATCTTAAAAAAAAAAAATTAGAAATACGACTTTCTTCACTCACATGTCAAGACACAATTATGTACAGACTGTTCACATTTACAACATCAGTGTCTTCATCATCCCTGAGCCACTTTTGATTTGCCTAAGGGAGTTTTCCAGAACACATCTTCTCACTTCTGGGTTGTTAGACGCACAGTACTTTTTGAACCAGAAATCTATCACAGATCTATTTGCATAACACTAGGAACCTTGTTACTTTAACATTAAGAACCTTGGCTTTATTATCTGTTCTAGAGGCCTGTGTTTGTAATTTCTACACTGTGACCACCAACTAAGGAAATTGCTTTTTGAAGTGACTTTAATGGCTTGTTTGCAGTGATAGCCAGCACACTCAATTAAGATGTAATAATTGCAGGAATATTGACTAAGTCTTTGTTAAATGGATTTACCCTTTTTTAACTAACTCTGTCAAGTGACTTCTGTGAGCATCCCAAATTAGCAATGTTTGAGTTTATTTCAGGTTGATGTATCTTCCCTCAGTTTTTTTCAGGGTAAAGTAATGGAGAGAGGCCTATCAATATAACATACATTGCAAAGATTCAAATATAAGTGACTCCCTTCTCTGATGGTTAATTGTGGGGGGGGCATTTATAGTCAGGCATAGACAATAGTTTTATTCATTTGTGATTTTTTTTTGTTTTAATTGAAGTATAGTTGACATACAATATTTTGTTAGTTTCAGGTATACAACATAGTGATGCAACATTTGTGTACATTGTGAATACAATGCTCATCATGATAAGTGTGGTCACCATCTGTCACCATACAAAATTATTATTGTATTATTGACTTTTTATCCCTACAACTTATTTATTTTATAACTGGAAGTTTGTACCCCTTAATCCTCTTCCCCCCACCCCCCTCCTGTCCAGCAACCACCAGTTTTTTCTGTATTTATGAGTCTGTTTCAGTTTCTTTTTGTTTGTTCATTTGTTTTGTTTTTTAGATTGTACATGTAAGTGAAATTATACAGCATTTTTCCTCCTCTGGCATAAACAATTAATTATGGAGGTGAAATAAGAAACTAGAAATCAGAAAATGTAACTTTTTTTTAGAAGGGGTGAGGGGCAGAGGAGAGGGAGAGAGAATCTTAAGCAGCCTCCACACCCAGTGTGGAGCCCAGTGCACAGCTCGATCTCACAACCCCTGAGATCATGACCTGAGCTGAAATCAAGAGTTGGAGGCTTAACCAACTGAGCCACCCAGGAGCCCCCAGAAATATAACTTGTAATGACAGTTTTCTATTCTGTGTTTATTCTGATCAATATCTGGTTAGCCCAGAAACCTAACAACTGAAAGTTGGCCTCACACTTTGCAGATTATTCTGTGATCCTGTTATTCTCCATATAATAATTAGTACAAACTCAGGTGTTATCAAAAGTCCTTTTAGAGGTGGATAATTCATATATCATGTGATTGACTTTCCCATTACTTGCTGCTTAGGCTTGTTGGGAAAACAGTAAGTTGTTGTGTGTTTTGAGATCCTTGGATGAAAAACTCAGAAAAATGAAAGTCTTATTAGTCTTAATCATTTAACAACAGAATTATTATTCATCCTGATAAGACAAGTAAGGAAACAATGAGTAAAATGTACTTATTGTCTGTTATGGTCCTAAGGCCATAAAATTGTTTCCTGGTATAATAATTCCCAATAAATGCCTTCCTACCAGTAGATTTTAAATGGGAGGTTTGGGTTGTATATAAAACATTCACCTCTCCCTGTGCTGACTGCGTGACATTCCATTACTGTGATTTCCTTTTTCAGCTTGGCAATACCAATAAATAAAAATGAAAAAATGCTCCGGTCACCCATCTCACCCCTATCGGATGCATCTAAACACAAATACTCCAGCGAGGACTTAACTTCTTCCAGCAGATCGAATGGCAGTGGCTCGTTCACTTCTGCATCCTCCAACAAAAAGCATAAGGCTGAGAACCAGCCGCAGTCTCATGCCGGAGACCTCACGGTATGTTGATTCTCTAACTTTCCCGATAAAAATAAAAATGAAATTGAGCACACCCCTACACTCATCTGTCTGTAGCCCAGCACAGTCTAAACATGTGCTTGAGGTCCCACAAGAATCCCTAAATGCTGCTCTGGGAAGACCTGGTGAACCAGCACGCCCCGTTACCTCTTCCCACAGAGAGCGACAGAAGAAACCAGAGGAGGCATTGTAAGCTTCTGCTGCTTAGGACGCCTCTTTGTAGGATTGCATTTCCCACTCTGAAGAGAAATGGCCCCAAAGGAGTACTATCCGGAGACACTGTAAATTGGGAGTTTGGGACAAACCAGCCAGCTTTTTCATTTGGAAAGATTCCTTGCCCCAGGGCAGAGTTAAATCTGGGACTGAAACCCTAGGCCAAAACTATGGGATTCCCACTCCAATCTCAGTGACCAGTGTAGTGGCCAAAGTGTGGCACCCGGCCACCACCCCCAACCTTCCCAGGGGTGATTCCAGCTGCCTGCGGTGCCCTAGGGAGGGGCTGGGGACTGGGGCCCACAGTCTGTCTAACCTTATATCTTAGTCAAAATGTGACTTTGGCCAGTTGCTTCATCTCTCTGAGCCAGTTTCATTTGCAAAATGGTGGTGAGAAGATTTAAATTGAGCCAGTATTATCTGAAGAACTGACACCTATGGATACCTATGCAGCTAACACTACCTGTTAGTTCCTCTTTATGGCCACTCCTTCTAACAGCTGGTGGCCGTGGATCATGCATCCTCTAGGGCACATTATTTAATTCCAAACCCTCCTCCCGAGTTCTCTCAGGTCACCACCATGCTATCAATACCAGCGGGGCTTTGTGAGGCAGAGAGAGAGATGAGACATGAGAATAGGGCTCTGCAAAGAGGGGGAAACAGTATTTAATGTTCCATCCCATGAATTAAAGAGGTAAAATAATGGGTAGAAGATCCGGCAAGAGCCGAAATCTTATAACATCTGGAAATTAATAACCCACTGATGCACCCTTATTTGGGAACAATCATCTTTAATTCCAGGCTCAAAGAACCTGAGAAGACCCTACTAGAAAAACCTGGAATAAAAAATTACCAATTCAAATTAAAACACAAACAAAACGTTTCTTCACCTCTAGATCCTAATATAAAAGCAACCATGATGTCTAGAGAATTGTAAAACAATTACAGACTTTATTCAGTCATTCTTTCTTTCACCAAACAGATGTTTATTGAGCAAGTACTTACTGTGTGCCAGGCACTGTGCCAAGCAATGGAGATCCAATGATGACCTAACAGATTCAGTCTGTGCCTGTGTGAAGCTCACAGTTTAGCTGGGGAGAATGACATAGACAGGAAATCACACACATCCGTAATGACTGCCGTGAATGCCAAAAAGGAAAGGCCGAGGCCCAGGGGCACTTACAACCAAGAGGCTTGACCTACACATAAAATCAGTGCATATTTAAAGAAGCATTTGCACACACTCGTCACGTTTTAATTACTTCAGAAGAATCCATTGAATTTCATAACCAAAGACAGTTGCTTTTTTAGCACTTTTTTAGCACATTCTAGCACACAATAGGTGCTCTATAAATATTTGAATCCCCAGGGAATGTGATTTTTTAATTTTTCCACAGATCGATAGTGTTCCTTTTAAAAACACATTTTAAATAATTTCTAGTCATTCCCTTTGGCTTTTCCTATTCTTCACAGACAGCTAATGAGGATCAGTCCATTTGTGACCTGAACAACTTCTCTTTTGCGTGAGTCAGCAGTTCTTAAAGCTTGGTTCCTGGATCAGCATCACCTGGAACTTGCTAGAAATGCAATGTTCTCAGGCCCCACTCCACACCTACTAAATTCAGCTCTGGACGGGTGGGGGTCCAGCTGTCTGTGTGCTGACAGCTCCCTCCCACCCCTGGGATGATTCTGATGCAGAGTTCACCTTGGAGAACCACTGGTCTAGCCAACTGGGAAAAGTAGGGGCTTGAGTCCTAAGCCCTGGGCGTCACCGATCCACAGTAGCTATTTGAACGCAGGCAAGTTTCTTAACTTCAGCCAGCCTCAGTTTCTGGATCTGTGAGAGTGGGTCACCAAGAACTTCCCTTTTGATACTATTATAAGAATGACATTTGACAACACGTGTGAAAGCCCTCGACACGAGAACTGGAATGCATGTATTTCTTTTTCTTCATTTAAACACAAGGGATCAGGACGCCTGGGTGGCTCAGTCAGTTAAGCATCTGCCTTCGACTCGGGTCATGATCCCAGGGTCCTGGGATCGAGCCCCACATCAGGCTCCCTGCTCAGCGGGGAGCCTGCTTCTCCCTCTCCCACTCCCCCTGCTTGTGCGCTCTCTGACAAATAAAATCTTAAAAAATAAACAAACACAAGGGATCATCAGTTCTAGCCTAGAACACAGGGCAGTGGGTTGCTCTTTCAGCCAGGTGGCCTGTTTCTGAAAAACTGGTGTGTTGTTTTTTTGTTTAGAAGGCCACTCACAACAATTCCGAAAACGTTCTCCACAAGTCACGGCCACAGACAGAGCCATGGTCTCCCGGTGCCAACGGCCACAGGGACTGCAAGAGGCAGAAACTTGTCTTCGATGATATGTGAGTGTGGACTCTTTGTTGATGTGGTGAGGGGCAAGGTAAAACAGAAACTCCGAGGGTAGGAGGGTTACATGCGTGACTGGGTCAGGTAAGTGTTGCCTTCTCAGAGGGAACTGGAGCTTGACTTTGAACACCCCCCGGGGTCCTCATGGGCCTTTTGAAAGGCTACGACAGCCAGAGCTGCTGGGGTTGCATCCGAGATGTCAGGAAGCTAAGGCAAATGGCATTCATGAGCCTTACATTTCTGAGCACACCTGCATTTTGGGCTGTTGGCGGTTGTATGCCACCAGAAAGAGAAGCATTTTTGTTTTCGTATATTATAATAGGCAAAGAATAATAGCAATTCACTCCTGGTTTGTTTCCTTCTAAAATGCTATATTCTTTATAATAGCATAAACAGGTCTTATACAGGAAAAAAATGTCCTGTCATCCTTCCCCCCAGCCCTAGCGCCTGAAACCCAAGTATTACTTCCATTCCCAGCACCAATTTAAAAGGAGAAGAAGATGAATAAAAGTAACAACTTGGAATGCTCTTGAGATGCTGAAAATGACAAAGGAGAAGTGATAAAATGGTACTGGAAATTATTTAGGCTCTTAGGGAAAAAAAATATGTGTCAAGCACAAGCCTGGAAGACAGAAGATATGGGCGAGAGTTTGGCTTGAATCCTGTGTTCAGCGTTAACTGTTTAACACACATCCAGTTCATGTCTGTGTGAGGCGCCACATTAAATCCTGGGGTGGAACAGTGTGCAGCACTGAGACATCCTGTCCTCTAATTGCTTACAGTCTGGCTGACGGACAGACTATAAACCACTAACCCCACCCAAAATTGGAAAAAGTGAAGGGTTCCGAATGTCTTCGAGTCCCAGCTTCCTTATCGGGAAAAATGATAGTCATGACACCTCTCTCCTGGAGGTTCTCCTAAGACCCAGTTAGATGAGATCTCCTGAGGGTGACCATCTGTGCAGAGGTGATGACTCTTCCATCCTCATCTTCCACCCAACGTCTTCTCTGGCCCCGACTTCACCCAGAGCCTGGACACACTCTATTTATTCACCCTGTAGACTTCTTGAGAAATGAGAATACAAAGTTGTAGTTCTCAATTTATACTTGGACTTCAGTGAGCTAATTAAGGGCACAGAACTGGGGAGTTGAAAGCCAAATCCACGTTTTTGGTTTGTTCCACTTACTGAACACATTCCAAGATAATTGGATTTATGAAAGTTTAAGGGTGGCCCAGGAGGGCGACTGTTTTTCTCTTCTTCCCATGGCAGCTACAGCTGCACTCAGCCCCAGCACATTCTCTTCCTGGCCCTCACCACCTCCCCTTCCCTTGGCTTCTCCACTGCCCTAAGCATCGAGTGAGGGAAGTGGTAATTAATCCCCGGGGTGGGTGCATGTAATGGGAGGACAGTCCCTTGGTCAAGTACACATATAATTAGGGTTTGGTGGTATAAACTGTTCACATGAGCTCTAACCATTTGTAAAAATGGGAGGTTATAATTGTGTCTGATGGTAACATGGCAGTTTGCATTCAGAAGTCATAATCTAATAACGTGATCAAACACAACGTGCATTAGACCCTAAGGTGCTTAAGACATCCAACATTTCCAGCAGGTGATGTTAAGGGCATGATATTTAAACACACACACAATGGTATCACATGTATTAATACCATGATATTAAACACACATATGGAAAATTTACATATAAGGAGCTTTCTAGTATATGGACCAAAAAGCTAAGTCAGAAACAGCAACAACTAAATGGCTGTACTTTGATCTGCAGTTTCTTGGACTACTTACAAGAGGAAATGTTTCTCAATCTGCTGGGGCTATTGCTAATATAATTTTTTCACTATCTGTGTCAAAGAAGAAGCTGTTATCATTCATTCTTCCCATTAGCAATATGTATAATTTTTCTGGCTGACAGCTACAATAAAAGTGTTTCTCTTTTTCTGGATATAGATATAATAGAATAAAAAAGCACTCTTACATACCCATCATATGGAGAGAGAGATGTCATGTTCCAATTGCTATGTGTCCCAGTTGATTTGTAATCCATAACAAGTAAAATAAACATGCAACTCGAACAGCCACTCAACCACTGAGCTAAGAAAGTCTTGGGAAGATCCTTGAAGCTTGAAAAGCAAAATTAGGCATTGTCTCTTCCTTAAAACAATAAAAATACATGTCCCTTAAGAGGTGGCTGGGCTAGGAAGTCACCTAAACTGGTACAGAATGTCTCCCAGGTCCAGTTGGTATGTGCTGAGTACTTACTAAGGGCCAGGTACATTGGCTGGAGTTAAGATATGCAATTAATGAACCCTCAGTCATTAATTCAGGGCGCAGGGAGACACATGGGTGGCTTCCCCAGGAAAGTGCCTTGGGACCACTGAGCTTCCACCTTCGCCTGCTCCGCTCTGTTCTGCACCAGCTTCCCCCCCACCAGCAGCCTCGTTGACAGACGAGGACCTGGCTGCAGTCACTTTCCTTGACTTCTCCTCACTGAAGGCGTCAACAAGCAGTGAGACAACCAGAAAGGCCACCAGTGGGAAAGAAAGAGCAAGCTAGAGAAATCGCCCCGGAGTAATTTAGAGTTGACAGAAATCCAGTTACAATGATCCAAAAACGAACAGATGCCACACTGTCATTTGATTTTTAAAGCCGCATCATGTAGCTTCTAGAAAAAAAGGAAACTCATCCTTTTGTATTATAAATACTGGTTAATGGTTGAATAAACATGCGATTCAGACAACAGCTGAATTCAGTGGGCACTTAATATCAAGCGCTGAATGAACACAGCTGAATTAGAATAACATTCCCAGGAGAGTAATGCCAGCAGTTCCCCCACCCCCCCCCCCGAGAGTATAAGGAATCTACATGAAGGTAAATTTAAATTCACGGGCTTCTCAGCCCTTTTTCCTGTGTTACTTACCAAGTAAACAGGCGCCAGTTTGTGTCTTTGGGATGCAGATGGAACCGAACGCAATAACACTTATTTTAAGAATGTGATCCAGGTCAGCTTGTTCTGCCTAATTTGCAGGCTCAGATTGGTGGCAGTGTGATTGCACCTCCTCCCCGACATTTAGCCGTGCTCGACAGCCACTGCTTGACAGCCACGGTTTTAAGGTGACACTGGTGTGATTGCCAAACTTTTGTTAAAAAAAAAATCTGTAAGAATTTATGTCAATGAGTGACAGCATTTGATTCAACCCAGAGCCTAGAAACTGATCTTATTAGTGCGAAGCCATGAGCTGCAAATTACTTTGTGACGGGGAGTTCTTGGCCCAGGAACATCGAGAGAGAACAACTGTGTCATGAAGGCCTTGGTACAGAAGTCCTGAGCAGAGCTGAGTGGTGAAGTTCTTGGCTGGGAAATCAAGTCTCCTTTCCCAGCAGCCATATTGCTGCATTGGGAAGCCAGCGAATCCCGAGTGCCAGCACTGCAGACAGGCTGTACTGTCTCCTGCCCATATTTCACAAGGAAGAGCCAGTCACGATCATCACATTCATCACAACCACCAAACAGTCCATCTGTCCCCGTGACACCAGTAACAGGAGCCCAGCTACTTGCACCTCCCGACATTGAGAAAAGACTCCCTCGACCATGTGCCGCTGAAGGCCATAGAATGTGAAATGTGGCCAGTGGGGAAGGAAGAAGGTTTGGCATTTGTGATGTAATTATGCTCAGCAATCTGTAGCTAAAAGGATTTAATTTTATAGAGGATGGGAAGAGTCCGGTACATAAAAGGTCAGATCTCCTGTGGCATGATTTCATCAGAGGACACCAATTGAAATCCTTGAGGAGGTGATAGTACACTGAGACAAGGCACTCCCACAGAGGGCTTGCTGTGGCCATTGTTCTTCTCCTGACGGTCCCCCTTCCCCACCTTACCTGATAGACCATTAGTACACCTTTTTTTTTAAGATTTTATTTATTCATTTGAGAGAGGGAGAGAGAGCACAGAGGGAGATAGAGAGGGAGAAGCAGACTCCCCACTGAGCAGAGAGCCTGATGCGGGACTCGATCCCAGGACCCTGAGGACATGACCTGAGCTGAAGGCAGACACTCAACCGACTGAGCCACCCAGGCGCCCCCCATTAGTACACCTTTATGTTCTTCATATGGAATTTTCTCCTTTATGAGATCCCAGTCTCTCAGCCAAGTTATTTTGTTCTAACTGAAACAGAGAGACAGAGAAAGAAAAAGGCTAGACTTGGGGTGGTGGGGAGTAGTGAAGGACAATGCCTTTGGACCTCCCTGATTGAAATCTTAGTTCTCTGATCATTTTAAGAGTCTGTAAAATTATTTTATTTTAAATGTCACACCCAGAGAAGAACAACAATCAAAGTGATGAGTTTCCATTTCAATAGAAAATTGCTTTTGACTGAATGACAAAAACCTGCTACACTTAGCCTGTGCATCCTGGAAAACACGCTGTTTTCTGTGCATGACCAGGAGAGAAGCAGTCATGGGCAAGAGCCCATGGCCTGTATGAGACACAATGAGTGATCACTTGTGCTTCTGAGAAGCCAGGCTCTGGAGACCCTGGGGTCCCAGCCAGCATCAAGCTAATGGAAACAAAAACTGCATTTGAAACCTTGCTGCTTAAATGCAGTGTACCTGCTTCCCTCAAGAAGCACTCATAAAGCCAACACCAGCCCGCCAGAGTCCCTGCATCTGAAGTGCCCTCCTCAGTCGTGTTCACTTTAGTGGATTAAAAAGAATTGCAGGATCCCCCGCTATCTGAAGGTAGAGCGTTCCTATGAAACCATTTGTAAGCCAAAATTGTGTAAAGCGAGGAGTATCCCGGCTCTCCGAGAGCTCGCCTTGCACTACTTCACTTTGAAGAAAGACCTACATTAGTACAGTAAGGCTTTTTTCGGAAGCGTGAAAATCCTCTCCAGATTAGCAAAAACCATTCTGGGTCTTTCGTAAAAGCCAAGTGGCGTACCGCAAACTTTCAGAAAGCAGTGGGGGAGTGCCTGTACCTAACTTCTTACGCGTCCTTCTTTGTGAAGAAAGTACTTCAAAGCTGAGGGACACAGTAACACCCATGGGGCTTATCAGATGACAAGCTGACAGAATATCGGATGATGAATTCATTTGGTATGCAGTTGCCTATTTGTCTGATTTGGACTTCAACTTCCCTAAGAAAATTATCCAGATTTCTGCTGTGCCAAGGAACCTGTTTGTTCAAACACATTGAGCTCCCATCCCTGCCAGTTTTCACAAAACAGGCGGCTCTGCTGGTGGGGAGGGGGGTGCATTTCACAGAGGTAGGAATTACAGAAAGAAGGCTGCCATCCTCTCTGTGGGAGACCATTCAACTCGATCTCAGCCATGGAGCAGAACAAAAAGCAAGGTTGCTTTAATACTCCTCTGCCAGAAGAAATATTGGGGTAGTTCAAACCCTGTTGCTGCTCAGAACTAAAGCTGCGTGTTTATAGGTGGGGGTAGTGGGAGGGTGAGGAGAAGAAAGAAAACATTCTGTTTGGATCAAGTGTTGAGATTTCTTTTTTGTTGCAGAGAGCTCTTACAACAAAGATATACATGGCTAAGCCTTGGCTTTTAAAAGGATCACTCGCAAGCCCCATTTCTGAAGAGCCCAAATACACAGTTAGTTACATGTATGATGTTTAATTGAACTTTCATTAGGTTTATTGATGTATCATCATAAAATACCATCACTGTGAAAAAACAGTACAAGGAATGTTATCTAAATGAAAAACGAAAACTCTAGGCTTTTCATGTTAAAAAAAAGAAGCTTAGATCACAAATCTGTTTGAACACTGAAATAATTAGATTTTATTGTAGTACCTGGGCCAAGTTATAGTCTGTAAGTGCCCCAGGGGTGACCACAGTTCTACCTTCCTCCTGACTTGTACCCTGACGTCAGAGTGATGCCTTCATGATAGTATGCGTCCACTGCACAGCTGGACAGTGTTCAGTGGCATCCCATTGGCCCCACTGCCTCCATAATGTTCTGGTCTAGGAGCATGGCACTGGAAATACCTGAAAGGAGAAAGTGAGCCAGTCATCAGGCAATCTTCAGTGACTCGGTGTGGTGAGCGCTCCATTACATGCAAAGATGAGAATTCTAACTAATGTGTTGATAAATGGCCTCCGATGGTACATTTTTTTCCAGCATCTCAGGTTAGTGTCAACTGCTATGATACAGTCAGAAAATTAGATGTGTTACTTATCCACGTACACTATTGTGAGAGTTTGTGACTCAGCCTCCGTATCACGTCTAAAAAATACATTCATAGGCTGCAGATGAAAACAGTGTTGATGAAGGAACATATATGAGGAATTAGGAGATGCCGCCATCCCTAAGGGTAACTTAGAAGGCTGGTTAAAACTAAGATGCCATAGCTTATTGCCAGGAGAATCCTTTCATGAAAATGAAATGCATTTGAAATGATCATCTATTAGTAACAAGGTCTAGAAAACCGGGCAAGAAAAAAATTGACCAAACTCATATACTAGAGTGTGGAGCAGATAATGATGTGGAGAATTTCAAGTTGCCATGGAGACGTTCTCTGGCTTATTGGCTGCGATGCTGCACCCCATCAGAAGCCACCACTCTCTTCTAAGCTCAAAATGAATTCAGTGCTATTCAGGAGGGATTCATGTACCTTCTCCCATGTGCCTAAAACTATAGGGTGTGGAAGATCAAAGATGTCCACAGCATATTCCCTGCTGAAAAATGTACCAGCTACAGAACTGCCCAAGTGCAAAGACTGTAGCCCTATAGCTCAGGAGGTAATTAAATGCCTAAAAGTGTAGTGTAAACAAGAAGGGGCATCCAGGAAGGACAGAGATGAGCGTGGACCAAGTTACCAAGAACACCTCACAGCTTAAGAATTTGGGGGAGAGGTAACTCATAGAAGGCACTCAGTGAATGTGCACACAGTGAGCAGACCATTCCAGGTAAGAGGAAAAGGGGGAGCAGAGCAGTTCTAAGACAGAGATGGCATGTGAACGACACAGTGAGGAAGCCACCCATGGCTGTGGTTGAGGGCCTTCATGAGTAACTGGTACAGTTCCAGGGTTTAGGCAAGATCTTTGGGGGCCTGAACTGAGATTTGATCCCGTGGAATCTGGGGATTGATTTTAGGTCTGTGAGTAGGATGGTGATGTAATGAAAGCCATGTTTTACAAACACTGGTCGAGGGTTCAAGCTCAGGATAGGTTGGAGGGGAGTGAAACTAGAGGCCAGGAGAGGTAATGAAAGCCTAGGCCTGGGTAGTGGATGTGGTCACTAAGGAAAGGAAGGATATTTACAAGGAGGATACGCTCACATCTGATAACAGGGAAGAGGAATGGATGAAGATACTGGAGCTCCTCTCCTGAGCAGGCAGGCTCTGGGAACTCATCTGAAGCTCAGAAGTTAGGTCTGGGTCTGGCCTGGAGATAAGGGTCTGGTCTTCTATGCTGGGGCATTCAGCAAAAAGACAACAAAAAATAATGGAGAGGAATCTAAGGACAGTGCAGCTATTCTCTATGAACCTATAATGGTGGATAAATGTCATTATACATTTGTCAAACCCCGCAGAATGTACAACACCAAGAGTGAGCCCTAATGTAACTGTGGACTTTGGGTGATAATGACATTCCAGTGTAGGTTCATCAGTTGTAACAAATGTGCCTCTCTGGTGGGGGATGTTATGGAAGGTGAGGGAGGCTGGTGGGAAAGAGGCAGGAGGTATATGACAACTCTCTGTACTTTCCATTTAATTTTGCTGTAAGCCTAAAACTGCTCTGAAACAAAGGCCGTTAAAAAACAAGGACAGTAGCAACAAAAATGTAAAATGCCAGAATTGAAATCTAAGACCAGTATTCAGTATGTGTTCAAAGGTCAATGTGTGGACAAGGAAGAGAAAACCACACGTAAAAGCAACTAAAACCCATTCAAATGGAAGAAGTGTGAACATCTAGGAGATGAACTAGAGAAACAGAGCCAGTAGGAGCAGGGCCTTCCTATGAAGGACACCTCAGGCCCCCCCCACCACAGAGACCCCCCCAAGATGAAGGAAAGGTTTCAGGCCTGAGTGGCAAGAAGAATGATAGAGGGATGATGAGCCAGAGACGGGAAATTCTGCAACTCTGTTCCTTATTTCTTTGTTGGAAAAGTTAAATATTCTCAGCACATTACCGCAGTAATATTTTATGGGGAAGTAAAAGAAAATCAAGGTCCTTTTCTTGCCTCCATAATTTGTACTTGAAACTAATTATGATGATCATGGTTTGTTTTTTGTTTGATTGATTAAAACGATTAAGATGAGGATAAACTTTTGGGATTGCGATGTCATAGTCATAGTACGCATGGTGTTTCCAAGCATTTTGACCTCTTTGGATAAAAGGATGCTCTGACCACCTAATATTGCAGTAAGGGGAAAGACCCATTAGAATCTGAAAGAAGAGAGTTCAGAATAAGCATATAACAATAGGTGAGTCAGTCTGTGATTAATATCACTATTTACATCTTACCTCTCATTTGGGGAGTCCTGGCTTATATTGGATATTCAGGAATAGGTCAAGTTTATTGATTATATGAAGACCCATAATGTAAAAAAGCTTATGCTGATGGTACCTAGAGTATGCAGATTTTTAAAAATCTATCAGACTAAGCATTTAAAGGTACTGTCTGATGAGTAGCTTAGCATAACTTGGGGTCATTACACACACTCAGATCAGTCTCCATATGAATTACCTTCCTCCCCCAGCAGAGTTACTGCTGGCCAGGGTTATTGCTTTAATAATGCACATGTCTGCTGTTAATGTTTACCAGCCAGCTAATCAGAACTCTGGAGAATATATGCCACATTTGCATTGTTACAAGGTAGACATCACTTTACAATTAACTTCATTACAACTGGAATATAATGATACAGTATTACCTCTTTTCATGTTTCACTGTGAAGCCCTAAAATAATTATATATAGATACATACAGCTGTAGGTGCCATTTATGCATATAAATGACAGGTACTTTCATAAGAATACATAAACATACTCGCCCATACATATCATACAGTTATTATGAGGTATATTTATGATCTTTACATTAAAAAGGGATTGTTGTATACAAATATCGTGTAAAATAAGATTTTTTTACTTGTTTTCTTAACTATGCAATAAGAAATCTGATTCACAAATTAGGCACTGGGGAACCATGTTAAAATCACTATAAATGTAGACTATCTGCATATATTGAGTGTGTTTTGAATAGCTAATTTAAGAGAAAAGGAATTGTGATATTTCACATATATGCAGTAATTTGAGAATGCAAAAATGCTTGATTCCATATTAAACAGACTTTGAAAATTGTGATTCAAGTTTGAGTAAAAGGGAAGAATATTTTCAAAAGATCTTGCGCTTACACAATAATGACATTTAATATTCTCTCCTGTAGGCCACGCAGTGCAGATTATTTTATGCAAGAAGCTAAACGGATGAAACATAAAGCAGATGCAATGGTAAGACCCTTTTCCTTCCAGATATGTTCTTCCAAATTATGTTTGTACTGCAGCTTCATCATTGGGGCAATATAGCTGGGGTAATTATAAAATCTATTACAAGGATGGCTGGGTCTATTAAATGGAGAAATGTTTATATAATCAAGTGCTCATAGCCCAATAAATTATGACTTCAACCAATAATGTCTGACTGGGAGAAAGTCCCGGATAAATGAATATTTCAATTTAGTTCTAAGGTTTGAATAGTAACTAGAGGCAATGGAGTCAGTGGGTGGTAGTATTTTGTTCCTTTAAAAAAAAAAAAAAAAATCTAGGTTTGCATTTTTCTTTCTTGTTAGCCTGGCCAACCCTTGGCTTGGTCCCAGGATCAAATCCCTTTTCAAAAAGACTCCTGTTCTGCCTATGTATCTGCCAAAATTAATACTTCCTGTGAAACTGTACAACACAGAAACTATTATGCTGCACATAAGACCCTAAAGTCACCATGATTTGATGTTTTCAAAAAAAAAAATAACTTTTCTTACTTGGATAATCTCCTGTTTTGGAAAGCTTGACTCCTCCAGGCAAGAAATAGAAAACTTCTGTTTTTTTCTGAGAGATCACATGGTTGTTCCATCTTAGGGTCTCCTCCAAAGAGACTCCTTCCTACCTAGTAATTCCAGTTCTGTTCCCCTCCAGCATTCCTAACTGGCATTAGGGCATTTCGAATGTCCTTTAGGGTATTATTCCAGTGCTGAAGATGCTGAAACCAGAAGCGTACCCTTCTCCCAGTAATGTTGCCCATCAAACATTTTTTTGTATGAAGCTCTCCGCCTAGGTACACAGGTGTGCAGGGGAAATAAGCAGAGTTATCAGAAAATAGACGAGGGAAATGGAAGGTCCAGTTCTTGTCCTCACAACCCCACAGTCTGATGGAGAGTTCTGGTCACCTGAAGAAGCTGATGCGTGGTCACTATTGGAGAAGGGCACCAAATGTTAAAGCAGAATGAAATTTTCTGCCTGAATCACCCCAGGTTTACCAAGATTGTTCCTTTCCTGTCAACATGCTGCTCCAGCCAGGCTGATGCCCTCCTGGCCTCTGAGCACACCTCACTCATGCCAGCCAGTGGGCCCCTGCAGCTGCAGAGCCTCACACACACACTCACAGCTCCTCACACCTTCTGCTTCCTCCCCAAACCCAGCCAAGTCATACTGCCTTCCTACTCTCATTTTCAGGTCTCCCCCCTGAAATCCCCCCAGCCTCTCTGAACCCCCTGACTTCCTCACTTCTTACCATCTCTTTGCATTGGACTCTTGGCTTTACATTTTATCAGTTAATCACAGACTGCCTTGCACTTTGAACTATACCGTGGGTACACGTTTTCTCTCCTCAAATATATTCTGGGTTCCTGGAAGGAGCTTTTGTGTATCAAGTGCACGCTGCACAGAACTGGGTGCTGTAAAAAATACTTGTTGAATGAAAGGACCTCCTTAGTCTGAAAGCGCTGCCAAGAAACATTTCTCTATGGCCTATTAGGGTTATAAGCTGTTTAAAACCTTGATTTGCCAAGGAGGGAGAGTTTTGCTCTCCATTGGTGCTTTCTACGGTATCCATTATGAATGAGAATTGTTTTTAGAGGCAAGACCTAGATTAGTAGAGTATTTGTGTAATTCTGTTTGGGTTGATGAATGAATATGTGAAAACTGGGAAGATTATACAATCTGAATTTAGAATATGTAATTACCACAGAGAGTAACAATATGTGGAAGTAGGAACTTCACGTGTAAGTTCAGATTTATGAGAACCGAAGAATATGACGCTGATTCCCGGTTATCCTCACTGACGTGGGGGGAAATTAACATACATTTAGACAACTTGAGATAATCCCCCCAAGTCATTTTTTATTTAGCATAGCATGGAGGGACAAGGAGGGAAGTTGCCCAGCAATTAGGGGTTAGAAAGAAAGAGAAATTAGAGCAACCGTGTAGTTTTGACCAATTCTGATTGGCAGCTGTTGTATGGATTTGGGACATTTCTGTCTGTAACCATTCACTCATTTACCCTGAACCAGTAGCAATTTGCGAAAATAACTAGAGAAGGAAGCATCCTATTTCTTTCTTCTCTCGGCTTCATTCACAGGATTTTGGAACTTACAGTCGGGTTTCTCAAATAAAGTGTATAGACTATGTGACAATGCCGTTTAAAAAAAACTGTACTTAAGGAAGACACTGTATTAACTCTGTTGATCAGGTGGAAAAGTTTGGAAAGGCTTTGAACTATGCTGAAGCAGCTTTGTCATTTATTGAGTGTGGAAACGCAATGGAACAAGGCCCAATGGAATCCAAATCTCCTTATACGATGTATTCGGAAACAGTAGAGCTCATCAGGTAAGCACCGTGTCTTGTTGGGGAAGTGGAGGGGGTGAGGAATGTGTGTCGGTACTCTGAATACAGAGAAAAGAATGCCAGCCTGCTCCGTCAGCTACCAAGAACTAATGTTCATCCCCACAAAGAGGAATATAAGATTTTGCAAGGCACTTTCACACACCCTGCCTCCTTTGCTGTCTTTGTGAGTGAGCAGGAGAGTTCCTCTAACCCCTGATTGCTGCAGAAAGCAGGCTGAGCCCTGAGCCCAAGTGAGATGTGACATGCCGACCTCACCCGGCTGGGAAGTGGCAGATTTTGAACTAATTTCACCTTTATGCTGCCTTTTTTTTTGTAAATCGGAATCAGGTTAGTATAATAAAAATCCTAACTCCATCAGTAAATGATTCAGGAGTATTTGATGAGAGGAAAGAAGATTCAGGGGGTATCGTCAGAAAGGAAATCCCTCCTGTGATATGCTGTCTCAGGGGTTGCTGATGTTGTTTTGGTCTTAGACCTGAATGGGAACACCATCCCTCACCTGGGTTGAGACATGTAATATGAGCAGAAGCAGGGTTTCTAACAGGGGCACCGCAAGGGGTTGGATGGGAGACTCTTGTCTTCCATCATGGAGACCCAGAAAGACACATCTTTAATGTCTTTTTAATGAACCCTTAAGGGAATCTCATCCATGAACTGTACTGAGAACCTTGTCATATAGTTTATGTCTCTAGTTAGTTCAACTGCTTGGGATAATATTTAATACCCATATGTGAAATTATCCTTCCCCAAAACGAACTTTAAGAGACTTTTCTAACTCTGGAATTCTTTGCAACATAAGATTAGATATTTTTTTAACACACCTCATCATTCCAGATGAAAGATTTCTAGTCATCTTAGGTTATAACCTTTTTGATCCACTTTGGTCCAAAGATACAACTTGGTATTTTATACCACTTTCCTTCAGTAAATAGTTTCCAGCCTTTGAAACTGTCATCCCAGCATCAGAGAATACATCATCTTCAAAAAGCACCTCTTAAGAATGTTTTGAAAGTCGGGCACCTGGGTGGCTCAGTTGGTTAAGCGACTGCCTTTGGCTCAGGTCATGATCCTGGAGTCCCGGGATCGAGTCCCGCATCGGGCTCCCTGCTCGGCAGGGAGTCTGCTTCTCCCTCTGACCCTCCTCCCTCTCATGCTCTCTGTCTCTCATTCTCTCTCTCTCAAATAAATAAATAAAATCTTTCAAAAAAAAATTAAAAAAAAAAAAGAATGTTTTGAAAGTCAACACTGTTCAGTCATTTTTCTTATTAAAATATTTCTACTGCATCAGTGTATTGGTGATTTCCTCATTCTATTTTCTTACATGGTGTGCTATTTTTGTCAGTGAAGGAAAGAAATCACCATAGTAAAATACTTAAAATTACTCTAAGAGACCCCAGATTCTCCCCGTCCTTCCTCAGAGCAAGGCACAGACTCGATACCCACAGGCAGGTAGGAAAATGATGACACTGGATATGGGCACAAAGAAGTAAGGTGTCCTAGAGTGCGACTGCCTCCAGCACAGGGAATTGGGGGGGAGGGGCTCTGATTTGTTTATCAATGTGTCCCTAATCCCTAGAACAGTTCCTAGAACATAGTATATGCTCCATAAATATTTAAATGAACAAATAAGCAAGTCAGAGAGCCTCTGGTGAACTGGACTGTATATGGCCCCCTTTAAGGCATTCAAATTTTAAAAAACAAATAAGGAAACAAATCCACACCACAGTAAGAGCCTGATGCCAGTCACATACACTTGGAGGTGAGGATGTGCTACGCTTGCCCTGCACCGGAGTTAGGACTCTGGTGTGTTCACTAATGCAAGTATCGTCGCATGACAGAGAACACTATCTTCTGGATAATTCAGACTGAAGAGAATCCCTTAAACTACTCAGAAAACTAAGACAAGAGAAAGTTTTCTTATCTGAGTTAGAAAATAGCATTAATTCACCACTTACATCTGTATGTTGCCTGCCAGGCTTAAGGCTCTTCTCCCCCACCAAGAGACACTTGGGGCTGGGAGCACTGGCAAGGGGGATCTCACCACAAGTGTCCAGCTCAGGATTCCCTCTGTATCCCCATAGGCAAGAGAATTCCTTTCTCCCCAAGGGACACCAAGCACCACAAATCAAAATGGCACCACAAAGCCTCTAAAAATTAAATTGTAATTGGCCTAAAGAAGTAGGCCAGGACCTGCCTGCTAAACCTAAACTGGGTGACTTCCTTTTAAAAGAAAAGATTTAGATAGGACCCAGGGTCTCCTAACATAAGAGCCAAATGTCCAAGACACAATAGAAGCTCACTCATCATACCAAGAAGCAAGAAATCACAACTGGAATGAGAAAAGACAACCATTTGACACCAATCACCAAGATGAATCAGATGTTGGAATTATCTGACAGGGATTTTAAAACAGCCATCATAAAAATGCTTCAAAAAACAATGATAAATTCTCTTGAAAGAAACAAAAAATCAAAAATCTCAGCAAAGAAATATGGTTTTTTTTCATTGTTTTATTATGTTAGTCACCATACATTACATCATTAGTTTTTGATGTAGTGTTCCGTGATTCATTGTTTGCATATAAC